ACCATTCGGCTATCAGTGCGCGTTCAAGCCCTCAGCGAAACAGTCAAGAGAATCGGGGACACTCTCATTTGGGAAGTGATCTGATGATAGCATTGACTAGGCAGTAAATTTTCGAACAAATGTGACATGGATGGATTGAAGAGAGTCTGACAATCTTGGTTTCTAGATCGCCCTAAAGCAAGGTGTGTGGTAATGTCGATGCCAGCGTTGCTCCATGTCAGCAAAGGTTGGCACGTTTTGACCCATGAGATTCAGTTTCATCCCGCAGAATTGGCATGCGGGGAGAGCCCAGAATTTAATTCAACGAGTATCAGAGAACAGGACTTCAGGAGAGCCATGCTTACAGCTCCTGTACAACTAATGGCACTGGAGTGATGGTGTGAGTACTTGCTGAGAAGGCTGCAAGAGCAGGAATGCACAGGAATTTTGAGCCCGGGCAACTGGCAACGAGGAAATTCGAACAAGAGATGGGGAAGGATATTACGAAGGAGGACCTCTCTGATCGCTCCCTAGCCCACTCGAGTACTAACTGAGAGTAGATTTGCGCTACACTCCTGTTGTGGGATACAAAGGTGAAATTCTTGCTGCACGGAGTCCTCCTCCTGAAAACCACGTGGCAGAAGTAGAAGAACAAAACACAGCTCATTGAAGTGGAAGACCTTTGCACGAGATGTCTTGGGCAGGGATAGGTGGCAACGTCTATGTCAAAAATAGTGGAATCATTGTGGTGTGTGATTATAGGCAGAACCCGCGATTATTCGCCATCTCGGATGGTGGATTAGGGGTTCCCTATAGACGAAAAGGGATAGAACCCCATTTCGATCCCAGTTTGTACGTGCCCAATCAACTCTATCTCCAAAACTACGCCCTCATATGCACAGGCTGATTCACCGATAAGATTTCTACGATCGTACGATTATCATGCTTTTTCGTTCCTGCAATCTCATTTTTCACTGGAAGCCGGTCATTAGAGGCGGAGTCTGGAGGCGGAGTCACTGGAAAAAAGGAGGAGCCACTGAACCTATTGCGCTACAGCGCCCCTCCCATAGAATTTTTTGCCGCGAAACCGGTACAAGGTTGTTCGTCGCGGACCACTCTAACCTCCTGACGCCATATTTTCAACTTCGATACCTGATCGCGGACCGTGCCTTTAAGGGAGGAACTTTTCTTTTTGCTAGAATACCCAGCAGTGAAGAATAGCAGAAGCCCATAAGTTGACACGATAAATCCCTAAAGACGAGTAGGATTAATATGCCTGGCAGGACGGAATTCCGCGCCCCTAAGAAGGCGCTGCGCAGCGCCCTTTCCAAGGAAGGTACCCTTATAAGGGCCCTATCAAGCTACAACATACCGACCCGAACGCCCACCACGCCCCCGCCCACAAATGGACGACCGTTCCTGACGCTCGTATTGATTCATTTGCTAAGCAAATTATGAAGCGAAGGGATTGGTATGAAGCGGCCGTGATATATGAGTACACACATGCAGCCGTATCTTCAGTATTGCGGTTATTGGCAAGATGTCTGCGGGAAACTCGTCCGAAATTGATTTTCAGGTTATTGAAAACATTTTGACCGTTCCGCTCACCATCAGTTCCCACTATATGGCGCCTTGCTAGCATTTTAGGCCGAGTGCCAAATTATCGTGCCAACTGCCTCTGAAGGCGGTTTGCGACCGTCAGTTAGGTACATCCGGGCTTGTCGCAAGAGCGCAGGTGGTAATTTGCGGATCCTCTTTGACAGCTTCGAGAATGCTGGAATCTTCCGCTTCATAGGAACGTCCCGACCAAGGCTTCTTCGAAGATCGTGTCTCTTTTCGCGAAGAGGCACGATCTCTGAAGAGAGCCGCGGCGCCACTCATAGAAGATAATGCTCGAAAATGCTTCTGTGAAAGTGACACAGTAATTCAACCCAGGGAATAGCGATACCCCTTCCGGGGAAGCTTCTAGAGTGTTCTACAAGCATAGCATGTTACTTCATGCTCAGGCATCAAGAATCGAAAGCTGTAAGCTAATCAAAAAACACTGACAGGGCTTTCTTTCCGAACTAATAGATGTGATTGGGAAGCACTCATTACACATACATGTACGGTCGTGGAACCGAGCACTTCAGTGACGTTCGTCTACGGATGCTTCATGTTTTTTGCAATTTTGTTTGTTCAGATGACATGGAACAATGCACAGGTTCTACAATATTGTGAATGTTTGCTACCAAAAAGCCATATTGATTATCCGTATTCTCCTTCATCATTGTGCTGAAAGTAAAACAAATTAGTCCAGAAAAAACAGTGAATAGAAATGTAAAATAATGGGAAGCGGCTCCTGATGAGCACCGCGGAAGGAGGATACCATGGTTGTCAAGTTTCCGTCCAAGAGCACGTGCGAAACGGACACTAGACTAGACTACATCCTTGGGAATTGACAAGCCAAAAAAATTTACGAAAAATGATACCACAGTTTTGATCACTGAGAACGAAATTCAGTAATAGTAAATAAATATTAGGTTGTCCGGAAAGTTCTCAGCATTTTGAGTGTTTCACTTCAAACAATCAAACAACTTTGATTTAATCGAAATGAGCACCGTTCGAATCAGCACACTTTTGCCAATGTGACACAGTCGATAAATCCCATCAAAGAAAAAACTGGGTGGTCGAGAATCCACGAAGGCTTTTTTTGCCTGGTCCTGATTGATGAAGTATTTTCCAGCAAGGAAGTTCTGAAAATGTTTGAAAAGGTGATAGTCGGTTGGCGAAAGGTCTGAAGAATATGGCGGTTGAGGTAGAACTTCAACCCCCAATTCGTTCAATTTATGGATAGTGATTTGTGAAACGTGTGGGCGGGCGTTGTCATGCAAAAGAATCGGACCCTTTCTTTTGATAAGTGTTGGCTGCAGCTGACAAAATTTTCGGTACATTTCGTCGATTCCTTCACAGTAGGACTCTGCTGTGATGGTTTGGCCTGGTGACAAAAAGTTATAGTGGATCACACCAGCCGATGACCACCACACTGTGACCATAATCTTTTTTCGTGAGGATTCGGCTTTGGAAATTGCCTCGGTGGTTCGTCGGCATCCAACCACTGTCCGGAACGTCTCCTGTTATCATACATGATCCACTTTTCATCACAGACAATTCGGTCCAAAAACGGGTCGTTTCTGTTGCGCAAAAGCAGTGAAGAAGAAACCTCGAGACGTGCCAATTTCTGCCGGTCACTCAAATTGTGGGGCACCCACTTGTCGAGTTTTTTCACCTTCCCAATGCGTTTCAGACCATCCGCAACAGTGGATTTGCCAACGCCTAGCTTTTCTGCAATCTCTCGAACTGTTTGGGATGGGTCAGCCTCCACAAACGCCTTCAAATCCTCGTCAGGTATTGCTTAGGTCGACCGCTACGAGGTTCATCTTCAAGGCTGAAATCTCCAGAACGAAATTTGTCGAACATGCTTCAAAAGTCTTGGGAAAGGGGGTTTATCAGTCAATGGTGAAACGGCACTTGAACCATCAGATAGCGCAAAAAATTCTCTTCAGGATGTATTAGGTTGTTCGAAAGCGCGTTTGAGTCTAAAAAATTTTTATTATAAAAACGAAATTAAACAAGATCAATTCAAAAGATAATCTCCATTACTATCAATGACTTGTTGCCAACGTTTATGCAAAGAATGGATTCCTCTTTCGAAGAACTCGGCCGGCTGCGACTCAAAGTAGTTGGACACCCAGAGTTGGACTTCTTCGCGGTTTGTGAACTTTCTCTCGGCCAGGGAGTGCTGCATCGACCGGAACAGATGGTAATCGGATGGTGCCAGGTCTGTATGGCGGATGAGGCAGGACTTCCCAGCCCAATTCCTCAATTTTTTCCAAAGTGATTTTCGCGACATGTGGACGAGCGTTGTCGTGGAGGAATTTTGTCGACGTCGTTTCGACACCTTGACGACGCAGTGCTTGATCCACGCGGTTCAATTGATCTTTCTTTGTAGATGTCCGCCGTAACTGTTTGACCCGAATCCAGTACTTCAAAGTACACCAAACCTTTGCTGTTCCACCAAACACAGAGCATCACCTTTTTGCCGTGTATATCCGGTTTCGGAGTCGGTTTTGGAGTGTCACCGGCGTCTAACCACTGTCTTTTTCGCGTTGCGTTGTCGTAGCAGATCCATGTCTCATCTGATGTAACAATAGAGTCGAAGAAACCGCTGTTCTTGGAGCGACGAAGAAGAATTCCGGCCATTGCCACTCGTGTTGCCTTGTTTGCGTCGCTCAGCTGGTGCGGCACCCGCTCTTCCCAACTTTTTTCTTCAAAAAAAGTAGACATAGACAAAAATATATCAAAAGATGCACAATAAAAATCTCTTTCTAATAGACAAAACTGTTTTGAAAAATCTTCTATAGTAGGAGAGAAATAAATGGACAAATTCAACGCGCTTCAACGCGCATTTCTTTCCGAACAACCTAATACTACTGAGCTCCAAATTCACATAGTAAACAAAGAGCACTTCCGTTCAAGGAGATGAGATACTTAAGTGCAGGAAGGTCAGAGATTCGAAGAACAAAATCCGGGAAAACCTACCCGGTCAAAATGGAGCTCGGGTTTAAATCACTGGGCAGTAAGGAGCAAGTATCACCCGGAATACTCATAAATGCGAAATAGTTGCGAATTTCCTGTGTCCCTATTGTTCATTGTTTTCTATTATTCATAAATTTTTCATATATTTATGTGTTTTGAGCACACGTTTGGGTGTGCCCGAATGAAAGAATGAATAGATCAGTGATCATCTGAACTTGTTTTGTTTACTATATATGTTTATGGTATTGTTAAACATAGTCACTAACAGCTATTTCCGTGGCAAACAGTTGCCCCAGTGAGAAGTAGAGCTTCTCCAAAATAGCCCACCGCCATGTGATCAACGGTACTGGTTGCGATAAGAATAGCCTTGATCTCATAACCCCAGTGCGGGCCATTCAATGCAATTTCACATTTTTGAATGGCACTGGGGAGGAGACTCTAAAATGTTTCGATATGACGCGGGTCGGGCAAAAAACCAACAAGCAGCCGAGGGCAGACACAATGGCTCGGGAATCGCTATAAAAGCCCGTACACAGCTCGAAACCATAGCCAACCATGAGAATTCTCTTTTTCCTGGTCTTATTTTCCGTCGCTACTGCAGGTAAACTGCTTTAATAATTAATTATTGCACAGTTTAGCTCAAAACTGTTTCGAGAGCAGGCTTTTTCAAGTTTTTCAAGAGATCTGCCATATTTTGAACTGAGTTGATTAATCTCATACCTGAATGAAACAGTTACGCGCCTTTATATTAAGTGCCCGAACTGCTATTTTGGCCGTTCCTGACTGCTATTTGCCGTTCTTGGAAGCGACTACTCCATGTACGTCAGCAAGTGATTGCCCCTCCAATGCTTGCATTCACAGTATCAATCGGATGCAAAGAGTCTGTTGCGAACCGAAGAAAGGCAGCGTTCAGCCGGGTTGGTGCTATTAAAAGGTTCCCGAGCAGTCCAAACAGAACCATCCTCACAGACGTTTCGATAGAGGAGGCTTTCATAACACTAAGCGAAGATCATCTTTGCGAGTTTTTCAGTTAGAAGACTCACTGGGCGCAGTTTGGCGACGGGGGGGGGGCATTTTGTACTTTCGTTGCTTCACTAGTTCCGGTTTACAAGTCTCACTCTGGTGAAACCTGTGAACTCTTGTGAAGCTGGAGCAAGGTCGCCATCATGGTAAAACCTGTCAACTCGAGAAGAGGCTGTCTAGATAGGTCGACACGTCGATGGGAAGTAGCGAAAGTGCAAAATGCCCCCCCCCGTCGCCGAACTGCGCCGGCTCATTGAATTACTCGAATTTCCCAGGGGCACTACGAAATAGTACCATCGGTGTAAATTTGATTACCAGCTTCTCTCTTGCTGTAGTCGCGGTCACCACTGTCCTGTACTTACAGAATCAAGATACAATTAAGAAAACTTAGGAGCCACGGAGAAGAATAAGCGGGACTATTCCAGTTTGTTGGTATTGTTGCGCCCTCAGAACCTTTGGGAATGAATCACTTATTAGCCGAAGATTGCGACGTAGTGATCATCTTCGGAGGACTGTAGAGAGTGCATTTGCTTCTTCACCTATTTATATACACATATTTTGTTTGTGGCTTATGAGCATGAACGTGAAATAATACAGTTCATATCTGGAGACAGAAGGGGGCGTTCCCTCTTATATTGTTGCGGTTGTTGCGAGCGCAGCAAAGGCAGAGATATATGAGGGAGTAGGAAAGGGAATACGCAGCCGCTGGCTCGCAACTGCATAGTTGGGAACGCCCATTTTGATTTCTGATACGCACTGTTATTACGTCAGTTTCCTTCTCGTGTTGTCGATGAGTCGAAGAGGATGGAGTGGTTAATCAAGACCAATCAAGAGTGAGGCGAACCAATTAGTAAAAAAATGTTTTTCCCTAGTTTGCTCATCTGGAAAGCCGGCACCTCTGCCTATACTGTGCGATCCACAGAACACTGAGGATGCCTGTCCAGACGACTACGAATGCCGTGAGAGTACTACCGACTTCGAGAAGGTAGGACAGAGTTTTCTAAGTTCCTCAGTTTTGTGCTCTCAGATAGTCGAGAGCTCTACATCTCCCTTCACTCAAGCACTATCCCACAAAGCCTGTATGTAGCCACAAAGCCGTCGTACATATAAGCTAGTGTCGCATATCCCGCAGATGCAGTATGCGAACGAAGCGGCGAATGGGGAACATTGAGGCGTCACTCGCGCACCCGCAGTGGGAGCTAAATGATTTGAAGACATGCTGCACACTTTTTTCTATGGTCCTATTCATGTGCTGTGAATGGATTCTCGCTGCAATAATGTGTTACCTTCCTCAAGGTGCAAAGTAAGTGGGTTGAGCCTATGTGTACTGAGGTTTGGGGGATCAGTCTCCTGATTCCACCCGCCGCCTGCTCCTGCGCAGTGCAGCCATATGCGTCAGAGTAAGTGAACAATCAGAAGTGAGAGGAAGTAGACATTAAGGTAGCAGCGCTCGAACTTTGGTTTAAGCGTGTTGGCTGACTACGATTAAATTAGCTCAGAATATGCCGTAGATAGACCGCGTCAAGGCATGAATATCTTGAAACAGCACATATACACAATGTTTCATTTTCAATTGTGGCGAACAACATTACCTATGTTGTCGCTGATTTTCATGGCGGATGAGGTTACGCAATAGAAGAACGTTTTATCTGTCAGCTTCGTCGACACATGTACACACTGCCATCGTTTTGATCTTGTAAAAATACTGTCGTGGAAAAAATGTTCAACGTCGTCTATGTAAAGTGAAAAAATTCTGCAATTTCTCAATAACTGACAGGAGCTTGAGCATGTCAGAACCTTGCGTGAACCAGACAAGGTCATGCACCACGTCAGGAAATACAGGCGGGGGGGATTGGTACAATCTACATAGGTTGTCGTAAGACCCCTCCCCCTTTTAGTGAATTACAGTGTGTGATGGTGATCTGCTTATGCTTTCATCAGGATGTAGTCTGCATATGATTGTATAGGTTATGCGAATTTCATCAAAGAGTAACCTAGTATCTAGGAACATTTATCAGTCAGTATGATCAAAAAACAGAACCCCAAAAAATCTGAATATTGAATAGGATTATTTTTTTAATAGTAGACATGTAATGGCGCAGATTGAATCCTCGAAGACTTTACCAGTGATGCCGTCCAAAAGAAGCAACATAAAGCTGAGATATTGAGCACTCTGTGGGTGCGCGAGTATTGAGATTAGAACGATATTGGCCCGCTGCATTCACAGTGGTTTTCGAAGAGGGTTTGAACTTCATTCAGAGAACCATCTTTCGTAGAGCGGTAAGGACGGTTCAAGTTGTATGGCCATTCTCTACTAGAAATACACTACAGGTTTCATCAAGCTTGCATGACGGCTTCTGGCCAGAAAATAACGCGGAGAATTTGGGCAAACGCGAGTTCTTCACCTTTCGATGGAAATAACATTGCTTCAGACATAACGTAGAATGGAGGTGGTACACGGCATTGAAAACTAGAAGTTTTTCTCTTGAATGAGCACAACAGCTTTGCTGTAGCTCAATTACAGCGAAATTTCGCCCGTCGCGGAAAATCACAGAAGTAAAGCGGAGAATTTTCTTCGAGGCGAGTTCTTTACCTTTAAAGCCATAACTTCGTTCATACGCAACGTAGAACAGAGCTCTGCACGGCATTAAGGTGTAGAGCGTTTTCTTTTTCCTAAAAAGCACTACATCTTTGCTTGCTATAGCTGAATTGCAGCGAAAATTCTGTCCGTCGCAAAGTTCCATTTGAAAGACAGCGCCGCAGCATGAATATCTCCTTACATGCCAAGCCTACATTTCCATCTAGGAAGGCCCCCGCACAGCTCCTCCTCATGTAGTGACTAGGAGCTGCAGCAGAGAGACGCTGTTCAAAACCTTGATGGAACGCGCCATGTACTCGACTTCCTTCCCGAACTCATCACTCATCCTGCAAGCTACGTCCCTGCTGTATTAGGTATTGATCTCTGCAATACGACTCCCCCTCAGGAGGGAGGCCGAATACGACCCCCTCGCCGCGAATTCCGCGACGTATGCTTCACCTTGCTCAGAACACATACGAAGAGATAACAGCCCACGAAGCTACACAATCTCTTGTCGGAGTTGTTCCTGCAAGTCAAACAAAGCAGCAACAGGGCATGTCATTAATCTGGAAAGGCTGACCACTGGGCTCGACCACCTCCTCCGCAAGTTTCAAGTGCAACATCTTTCAACACAAAAGTCCTAATTCACTCCATTACCTACCAGCAATCTCGTCGGGAAAAATTGTCTACCCGAAGGATGGTAACATCTTCTGTTTCGAAAACTCATCTTCTGTTTCGAAAACTCAGGTTCGCATTAATACAAACCCTCTGAGAAAAGCCAACAAGTCAAGCATACGACTCTCACAGATGAGGCACTATGCGCTGGCAATAACCCAGAACCTGAAGAATTGTTTCCATTAGCAATCGAACATTGGAGAGTCACACTTATGGAACTATTCTACTTAGCTTTCTTTGACTGAAATAACGATTCACATTATTCGTGCCTACTGGGCAGTACCACTCCAGCATCTGCTCGACGGCACAGCCTTCAGTGTTAGCGGAGGGACGCCGGCAGAACCACCGCTGGCAGGAGGGAGTGGGTGAGCTCACCATCAGCCAGCTCGTTAGTAATGGTGTTCCATCTCTATAGCCGATAATTAGAAGATCCTCAGTTGCTTTTCCAGTGACACGATTGTCTTCGATTGTGAACGGTGCTCAGGCCGACAGGACCAGCACTGGCATCGCAGACCTTACTGAGGTTACGCAGGACAGCTCATACGCTTTCCGTCTTTAAGTTTGATTGAATCAAACTAAAGACCAAAGACCATTAGCCACTAACACTCTTCCCACAGCCTTACTCAAGAAACTATTGATGGTAAAATTACTTTAAGAATAGAACGAATCAAAACAAGGAGAATGCAATATTTATATACAAAATGCAAAAGTATTTCAAACTATTTACAAAATACAATAGTACACATGAGCACAGTGAAGCAAAAAAAATTACCAGAGAGGTCCTAGTTAAAGCAGCACTTGATATGAAGGGACGTTCGTCAAGCTTCGTACACCTGAAGGAATGAAAACAAGCGAGGAATGAAGCGGTTAGAGGCTAAATGCTTAGTTCAAGTGATACGGAAATGGAAATCAGTGGATTCAAAAGAGTCTGGTTTAAGAAGTGATGCAATCGAATGGTACGTTTACAGCCGTAACTTACAACCCGCTATGAATTTGTAAAGAAAGCCGGTCGCCAGGCGTCCTTTCTCCACTGGCCGTTGCACTCTTAGGCAGGAATCGTGCCACCATTTTGTTGATATGGCGCCAATATTTGTTAGCGAGCCAAATTCCTCATCTGTTTCTGTATTCAGTGGCAAGGGAAAACCGTTATCCATGACAAAGTAAACAATAATCCTTGAAGTGAAAGCAAAACTAAACCGCATTCAGTTCAAGACAATAGATGGTAACCTTCTGTGCGATCATCTGTCTTGTTGAGTTCGACAGCAAATTCCGTGCGCTCTCATCCGATATGGGGAACATTGTTAGCACGTCAATCGGTCTGAAATTAGACTGAATGGAGCAGCGGTTCGACGTCATATTACAGAAGGATCTCAAAAATCATCTCTTCGGGGGAATCGGTCGAAGAAAAACCTCTAACACAAGAGAGCAGTGTCTCTTAAAGATTGGTAGGAGTATTTAAAGAGTTCTCGCTGACGAGACGTTTTCTTTAGTTTTCCTATTGCATTCAGAAACAAAACTAAACACCTCTATACAAAAATGCTACTAGCGGCTGAAACAAGTACTGCGCGTGCAAAGTTCACCTGACTTGTTGGGGTGAAGGTCAAGTGATAATCTGCCATTATGCTCACGACGTTGTCAATCTCCTTCAATTCCTGCGTGCTGTACAACTGTTGGTTCATCTGCAAAAGTAAACAGGTTGCTCATTCAGTTACACCTTGCCACATCATTCTAGAGTCCTTCGTAACACTGAGGCAAACCTGGATACCTAGATTCCAAATGTACCTACATAACTGGCCACTCAGCTCCGAGACGTAGCTTGTCCTTGACGCGAATCAATGGCTACACTGTTCCTACATTTTGTCGTTCAAATGTGGCACGGAAACGTGGCTGGAGGGTAATGATACGTGGGTGTTGTTTCCAGACTCCGCCTGCAATATCCTGAAGGTGCAGCACGTGCATCGATACCTAACACATCCGCACGCGAACAGCGTAATGCAGAGGACAACCAGACATGAGGAGGCACAGACAAGTAGTGCGTTTAGCTATGGTAAGAGTCATAGCCAAGGTAATTGAGCATGTGGAAGCCGGGCCGACTCAAGAGACGGCACCTGGTTATCACCAATGCCTCCAGGCCTCGTTTCCTGCCACTGTTTGACAAGGGAAAGTGCACGTATTAAAGCTGCCCGGAACCGCGATCAATATGAGCGATTTCGACTGAAAGCCATCATGACCTCCATGCCTACGTAGCCCAACGGAGTAGAAATCATTCAGTCTCCGTGAGAAATTTCAAGACCACATAGTTCAACCAATTCTTAACCAAGCACAATACAACTTGTTGTAGTGTGCTCAATGGATACTGTATTTGAGTCGCTGTATTTTCTAGCATTCTGAACCTGAGACCTTACAGTTTCATCAAAATGAGAATGATTACCGTCTTGATAGGTGGCTGCACAATTTGTAGCAGCAGAGGCAGTACATCATTAGTCAGTAGTAGCGTTTGTGAGCATATCTGCCCAAGGAGGGAGCACTGAACACTAGAGAGGGTTTCCTGCGACTCTCGTCGCCTCTGAAGCGCAGTTTGTTCCTGCTGGGGATACTTCAGTTTAGCCCTGAAAGAGAGGAGTCAGACGTATCCCAATTCTCCAGAAAGAATGAAAAATTTCGGAGATAAAACTAGAGCTGTTTCACAGACTTAGTATGGGTGGCCACAGCTGCATGGAGAAGCATGTAGAACACGGTGACGTACTTCATCAGAGTGTAATCTTGTTTCTCGTTGATCTGAATCAGTTTAAAATGCTTAAAAAAGAATATTTAGACAGAGAATTAAATTGTCAGGGCAGTGAAGCGGCGCTATTTTAGGCAGTGATTCAGCCCGCAACTTTCTGCGCTTCATGGCCTTCAGGAACTACGCTTAGTCCATTGCCCACCCAAATAACCTGAGAGTCTCCTCTCAGCCTGCATTATACTTAAACCAAGGGACTACCCCAGACGACTGGATGACGAGGCGAGACATGGCCGCGCTAGTCGTCTTCGCTCTGCTATGGTTGACAAGGCGAGAACGAGAACGTAGGTCATTATCAGAGCTGGCCTCACACCTATAACTCGATGAGCCTGCTTACTGCGATACACCCACACGTATGCGCCTGAAAAGAACGGCTAAATGTCGAATCCGACGTGTCTCCCCATAAAAGATTAGAGGATAAAGTCTTCCCCGTTAACAAAACTTTTTTAGGGATGTGACACGGGTCCTATTTCATTCAGAATCTCAATGGCTTATTGAATGCGATGTGGTCTAAGCAATGAATACCGGGTGCTCTCCGATGTATAGGTCAGGGTTCTCCCTCCCTAGATGAATCTCGTACGACTGAAATCCGTCTCGCAGGAAGGCGAATATGGTACCGATTCACCGTCCCCGGAGGGTAGAAGGCCTGGTTGGCCTGGGCGGAAGCCAATCAGGGATTTCACCACCGGACGACGCGCGTGGTAAGCGGGCCACCGCCACTACACCACCTCCGGCCGTTCTCCCCATATCAAGCATTATCGTAACGAAAACGGTATCATGGACTGCGTCAGAAAACAGCAGGAAACACGTTGAAATCCCTAATTCCGATAAAACAACGATTAACAACGTAAACCTACCGCAAGCATAATGCGATCGTAATGGACGAAAGCTTCGGCACCAGATCTAATAGCCTTCAAGGGTAGATTTACGCTGAGGTAGTTAGCGTGTAGACCATTCACAAAGCGGTCATCGCCTCGCTCAAATGCAACGCGCTCAACCAGCTGCAGCCTTTCCGACAATGAGCGTAAGACGCCTTTCCTGAAACACTCATGTCATGTTGTCAACAGCACTCTCAAAGTATCTCCTGCACCACTCGCGTGACTTCCGAAGATTTTCAAGATGAAACTTTCACAAATTTCACTGAACAACGACATAAATGCAAAACACTTACTTGTCAAAATGATGACCGAAATCCAGCATCGTAGACCAATTTTCAAAAATTGACGCAGATCCCACTCTTTCACGTTCCACAGCCTGAAATTAGCTGGTCAACAACTTCGACGAGCTGGTGAAGTTCCATGAAAAAAGGTACCAGAGACAACAGGTTACCTTTTGTATGTCATCTGCGGAAACATAACGCCGCTCCTTCTGGGCAAGGACAGACACATACTGCAGTGTGTTGATTGAGAACCGAACATCGCACTGGCATAATTCCACGAGCCGCTGTAGCGCAAAGCGATCAATGCGAACGCCTTCCAATTCAGCAATCTTTAAAAAAGAATACATTAATCCATTGACAATACAGTCAGATACTTCCCAACTTACTACTGTAAGCCTCTGAATGAGACGCTCCTTCGCCGTCGCTGCGACCTGAACATTGAGAGCAACCGCTCGAAGCTCACGCAGGGCAGGAGTGAACCTAAAAAATGCCAAACATACGCAGTATTTCCGTCATAAGCCTTTTAAGCGAGTCCAGAAGAAACATACATATTATTGCAAATACAAATGATAGGGCGACGTATTGCTTTCTTTCCAGCAGCTTGAGTTGCTTTGACGAGATATCGTATGGCCTCGACAGGAGCGCCGTCAATTTCATCGAAGAATTAGACAGTTTGGGCGAGACTTCTACAATAAAAAGCAATAAAGATAGTAAAAATCAAGGGACATTAAAAATGAAAGAAGATTAAATTTTGAAAATGATTCTATGGTTCATTCATTCACTTCACTGTGACTGTAGCCGTCTCTTATCTAATGGTTAGCGACATCTACCTATAGGTAATCAAGTATACGGACCACTCCTCCTTGGTCACCATAGTTATCAAGTACGATTACACAGAATCCTCTTACATCGGTCGTGGATCTGAGGAGAGTGGAACTCAGAGTACTCCGGTTGCGTTAGACGTGAGGCTGGCTGCGTTAGACGTGAGGCCACTCTTCACATCAAATACTTGAGTAACCCGAAGCCGGCGCAATAAGGAAAACAGATGAACCAATTAGCGCTTACATACCTGGTCCAGGGTTCGAGCAGTACGAACGGCACCTTCAAGAGCTTTCTCGAAATCAGGCACATTCCTGCTGTCACTGGCATTCAATTCAACAACGGCATACCCTGCTTGTCGTGCAACAACGTTCGCCAGTGTTGTTTTCCCCAAACCGGCTGGTCCACAAAGCAAAGCAATCTGAATAAATATTATATGTTTGTTGCAATGGAAATGTTCTTTCTAAAACAATTCGTGCTGTTCCAAATGGAGGAGTTCTTGCAGGGATACTGTAACACGAGAACAAACTACGCTGTAATCTACTCTGGCCGGCACATACCAGGCGCAGTTCGGAGGGTGGGGGCATTTTGCAGTACTGCTACTTTCCATTCATCGACGTGTCGACCCATCTAGTGAGCCTTTTCTGACAGGTTCTTACATGATGGCTTGACGAGCTTGCTCCAGCTTCACAAGAGTTCACAGGTTTCACCAGAGTGAGACTTGTAAACCGGAACTAGTGAAGCAATGAAAGTGCAAAATGCCCCCACCCCCCACCGTCGCCATACTGCGCCCACATACTATACCAACTATTCCACATATCAAACGATTGGTCCTTTGCGCTCAGCTTGGAAACATCACAGTCACCCCCGACATCTCAGAAGGATTGATCGTTTAAATCGTCAGGAGAAGAGAGCAGTCAGCATGAGAATGGTACCCCGAAGGGCGCAGGTGACAAAATTCGGTCGAGGAACGCAAATTTGAGACTTATTGTAAGAAATGCGGTATTACTGTTTGCAGATAACCGGCATGCGTTGAGTGGGTTTGTTGAATGAGGATAGTACCTGCACTTCCTAACAGTTACAAATTGATCCCCCCCCTCTCCGCTTGACCTATGAGGATATGAGAAACATCTGACGGAAAAGGGAGGATCACATGCAAAGCTCCGAACTTTACATCCCACAATCTTGTCCATGATAAACCAATTTTACCGACTTGATTTTAAGGCGAAATACAAAATTCAATACAGGAACGAAAAATGCGCTGCACAGACCTTCTGCATTGGTCTGCGAGGCTTCCCTGAATCCAGAGTGAGCAAGTCTTTCTGTTTCATAGAAACGTTTTTGGGAAGATGCACAATCTTTCGCTTGAAAACGCATTCGTCCCATAGCTTCACCCAAGACATCAGAAACCGATTGACACCCTGGAATCAACAATTCAAATTGAACGGACTCATCACGAGCAGGCCTGCT